ATTATTAATTAATAAATACCACGGGTAATCATTGCCAGGAATAAACCTCCATACGTGTCATATTGGGACACTTTGTCATCAATTTAAGCAAATTGTTTGCATTGCAATATTTGTTACCAAAAATATCCAATTTCCCATTTTCTTCATACAATTTGTCCATCAGTTTGCCGTCGATAGTAATGTCCGTAACTGTAGTGTAAATCAATGTCTGCCACCGTTTGGACAGACATTCAATTGGGAGCCGATCTTCGAGTGGGAGATAACTAGTAATCAATTGAATCAAATCGTCGCTAAACCTCGAAAACGAGTCTTTCGTATTAAATATTTCACACATTTTTCAATCACTTCTTAACACAAAGTGTTTCTAACATTAAATGCATTGATATATAAATCTCTACACTTTTATACCTTAACTTCAATACTAATAAATTATTAGTAATAATTGACTACAAAATAAAATTCATTTTCTGAAAATTTTTACTAATATTTTACTCAATATTTCTTAACCAATAAATATTACTTTTATTTGTGAATAATTTATATAAAAATATACACATTTCTCAACTTTTAAGTAATGTACAAAATACTAATACATTTATTATATACCGTAAGTTATGTTATTAAAAGTTTTAAAAGTATCATAAAACTATTATTTATATTTAAAAGTTTATTAAATTATACAGATATAATTTTTTATTAAAAATTAATAATATAAAATACAAGGTACAATTTTTTAGATGATCAGGTGCTTTGTTAAACTGCCGTTTTTAAAATAACATGAATAAATCACCTAGGTATATTTTAAAAATGAAATACTGTATTTAATCTAGCACTTTAAATAAAGTGCAAAATACTTTTTCTCATTTAGCAACCATTTGAGAGACATCTAGTGTTTTGAATGCAAATTATATGCTATTTATGGAAAACGCAAAATACAGACTACAGACAACTTTCGTTATAACAAACCATTAATACAAAAGTACAAACATAGCTATAATGAACACATTGCTGCCAAGTATTATTGCAAATTAATCACTATAAAATCAGGTTAACTATACAATAATTTTACCACAGTTTACCGTACAAATAATGTACCAAATCAATAAAATAGCATTTATGCAGTATGCATGAAAACCAGTGCATCGACTGTAGCCATACATAAAAAACGTGATGAAAATACAATACATTTATGAAAAGCCATAAGAAAATCATTAAAGCATTCAATCATTCATTCATTCATTCAATGAATGAAAGCGTGAATTGAAGTGAAAAAACGAAAACACAATTCAATTGTAATTAAAAACAATTAAAGTTTTATAACAATCAGTGATTATAACAACCGCTACCGAACACAACCCAATGGCAAACGTACGGCTCGTGAACCACGTGGTCAGACGCGGCGGCCCGTGTCTGACGGCCACCACTACTCCCGCTATTATCAACACTACCGTCAACTCTACGGCCCGACGACTACTGCCGACCACCACATGTGTGGCCACGACTACAGCGCCGGGTGTTGGCCAACATCGGCGCCACTTCTACTCGTACTGCAATGAGCCGACACATCCCATACCTCAACGGCAGCCCAAATGGATGTCACCCGAAGAGGCACTTTCTGTGGTCAAGTCAGGTGAGGGAGACATTGGGATCAGCTGCTGGTGATAATGATTATCATTTGTCGGCCGTATTGTGTGGTGCCGTTAATCCGGTTGTGATGTGTATTGTGTTGTATGTATTGTAAGGGTTGGGTGTAGTGTACGGCCGCTGCCCACCCGACCCGACTTGACTATTGGTCTGGACTGTAGGCCTCGGCTGGCCCGCTATTGGTGTAATTTAGGCGATGGTATACTCGTTGTAGTGAACCAGTGATCAGTTTGGGTGACAGGTTCTGGTGCTGTGACCTTGGGTTTTGAGTGTTTGATTTTTGGTGTTAATTATGGTTAGGGTTTGGATGTCTGGGTTCACTATAAGGGAGTTTGACTTTTACCCTATGGTACCGGTAATAGGTCTGTGTCTATATGGTGTATATGTGTTTGGTTTAGGTATTAATTTAGCTATTTTTAGGTGTTTTTTGGTTAATTATATCCTGGTTTGAATGGTTGTAGTGTTTAGTGGTTTTACTGTTGATTATAACGGGGTTTTAATTTATGTTTAGTTTTGTGTACACTATTTAAACATATGTTTTGTTTGATGTGTTAATTGTAACCCAAAGTGTTATTTGATTTATAATTAGGTTTTGTTTTTTCATGTTTTTTATATGCATTTTAGTTATAATTTTTGGCTTCAATTCAATTATAATTGAAATGACTTTACGTTTCATTTTTCTGACATATTTTCCCCGTATTTTGAAATGCAACTTATTTTTGGTTATAATATGTTGTAAAAGTAGTTTCAATTAAAAGTCAGTATTTTTTTTATGTCATTTGTATTTATAAATAATTGATGATTTAATTCAAGGCATGTTTTCCTCGATGAAAATGCTTGAAAACACAATGAGTTTTATGTTTTCACGGCTTTAAGTGTGAAATTAATTATTTATAATTGTTTTTTATAATGAATTAATTAATTAAATGTGTTATTAATAAGATTTAAAATTTAAATTGCAGACTATTTTTTGGGTACAATTTTTGTCAACATTTAATTGAAATACTTATGAATTTTCATATGATTTGTTGGTTTTGTTTATAAATTCAAAGTACAGACAGTTTTATGATTTGATTTGATTATTGAATAATAAATAATAATAATACTTTTAATTATAATATAAATATAAACACTATATTTTAATAGAGATATTCATTATCTGCCGTTTTATCGGGTATTTTGAACCAAAAATATTAGTTTTAATTTATATTCAGTTTATTATCGATTAAAAGTATTTTAACTTTTTATTTTTGTCTCTGATTTTTAGACCCGTTTTCAAGGCTTAAATGTACTGATCATTGCCTATAGGGAGGGGTGGCTAAGGGTTGGGGTATAGGGGTGTATGTGAAGGGGTTGGGCGGGTGTTAAGGGGTGTTAAAGACCCGGTGCTCTAACCCTCTAAAGGTTTTCGCAATTGATTTATTAGTTTACAGATAAAAACCATTCATTTGAATGACAGCTTTTGACAGTTATTTCTCAAACCATTGATTAGATAAGAGATGTGTTTGTATTTATAGACTTTGCACTCAATTGGCGGTAAATATTTGTTTTAATAATTGTTTTTTGTTTTTAATTATAGTTTAAATTTAAGTTAAAGTACATTTTTAATTGATTTTTTGTTTGCGATCTATATTGAGGTGTATTTTGTATGGGTTTTAATTGTTTGCAACATTTGTTTTAATTGTTTTGCTAATAATAACATGTGTTTGCAGTCAATCATGCAATTTATTGAATGTTTTAAAATAGGGTTTAATTAAAAGTATTTTGTTTTTATTAATTATAAAAATTTAATGTAATTTTTATGTCTATTTTAGTGTAAATTATTGATTAAATGGGAAATTAATTAATTGTCTATACGTCTGATTGAGACAACTCTTCGGCTGATCTGATCTCGTGATTGATTTTTATGTATTTTTTGGTTTTAATTATTAGTTTTTATTGAATTTTGTTTTCCTTGTGATAACAAATCCAACGAAACGCTCAAAATAGGCATAAAATTAGTTGTTTTTACATTAGTTTTAAATTAAATGATAATTTCTGTAATTAATGTGAGTTTTAATTAGATTTTTAACACGAAAATACAGGCAATTATCCACTGAATTTGTGGTATAACTCGTGTTATCTTAAGACTGCTCTTAACTTAAAGACGTTAACTAAAAGTTCTGATAATTGGTATAAAGTTATCACTTTGGGAACAATTGCTCTGATTATCAACAAAATCAATACATAATACCATTGAATCCATTGTTAACTAAAAACAGACAAAACAATTGATATTCAATGCGATTAACGGCACAAAAAAACTAACACATAATTAACAAATAATTAAAACTAAAATTAAATAAACAATTAAATTAATCACAAAAATTACCCTAATCAAACAGGCGACCACGTGTTCGTGCATGGTGCGGCGGCCACGCCCCGAGTGCTGGTACCCGCGCTCGCAGCTCATGGTAAAAAAGCGGGCCTCAAGAACGTACGCGTGCACCACATCCACACGGAGGGCGCCGGCGAGTACAACGCGCCCGAATATAAGGACATATTCCGGTCAAACTCGCTGTTCACCGGCGGTAACTGTCGGGAGCCGATCAACGCCGGTCGCGCCGACTTTACCCCGATCTTCTTGGGCGATATACCCAAGTTGTTCTACAAGGGTATCATTAAGCCCGACGTGGCGCTCATTCAGGTGACGCCCGCTGACAAACATGGTTACCACTCGTTGGGCACGTCGGTTGACTGTGTCAGGGCTGCCCTCCAGCACACCAAGTATATCATCGGTCAGGTCAACCCCCGGTTCCCGCGCACTTCGGGTTAGTAGTACTGGTTTTTGAGTGATTTAAAGCCTATTTTTAATGGCTTTGAAACTATTTGTGGTAATTTAAAGCCTATTTTTGATGATTTTTGTTGCCCTTTGACCCGCAGGTCACGCCATTATACACACGTCTCACTTCGACGCCCTGGTGGAGGGCGAGCTGCCCATACCTGAGCACAAGACCAAGGGTTTGACTGATGTCGAGAAAACGAT